TTTTTTTTCATGGTTATATCTACAAACTATAATATAAATGAAAAATAATAATACCAAGTATTTAATAGAGTAAAAGGCAGAAAAATACACGGTTTTTGGGCAATAGGCATCATCATATGTCATGATGTCAAACCCAAAAGGGTAATAATTAAGCAGGGACAAGGGTAAAATAGGAATTTCGGAAAAAGAGGAGGATGAGTTGCAAAGAGGAAAACCCTAACGCCACAGCCGGAGGAAGGGAATATAAAAACTCGCGAAGCTTTCCTTGTATCGGCCTCTTTATTTTTTATCTCCCTTCGCCGCTCAGATCCGAGTTTGGGGAGATTCAAGTTCTCATCAAAACCCAAACTTTCTGTCTCTCTAGCTTTCCTCTCCATCAGCTCAGCTCCAGGTTCATATTTTTTCCCGTGTTTTTTTTGGCGTGAAAAATCGATCTATTTTTTTTTCACGTGATTTGATTGCGCTGCTCCTCGATGGTTGATTGGATCTTGGGTTTTCATGGGTTGATTTGATCTCTTCCTATTGATTTGGTTTCGATTTATCCTGGGTCGGTTCGAAATTTGTGAAATTTGAGTCGCTTAGTTGTCTGATTTTCTTCTGTTGATGTATAGAGATGTGTTGCATATCCTGCTTGCTTACTCATCCTCATGAATGGAACTGTATATTCCCGTTAGATTTTGGAATTTCACTTATATGATGACATGACGATAACATCTTGAATCATTTATAGCTCTCTCAGGCACTTGTGATTTCGCCATAATGATTGAAGTAGTCTGTTTGCTTTTGGGTGATAGTTTATGAATCGAAGATCTTTGGTTCAATAGGTTTTGGTTCCGTAGAAGATGATGCCGCCTGAGAAGAGAAAGAGATGTGGACCTCATTAGTGAATTAGGGTTAGGGGTTTTGTTAAAAATGTATTAAAAAACAAGGGTATTTTCGTAATTTACTTATTTATCGCGTACGCGTGAGATAACCCGTTCTACAATTCTCGAACTCGAACTCGAACCCGAAACTCGGGTTTTTCATCTCACCAAACCCGAACTCAGTCTTATTGTCTCACGAATACTGAATCCCGGGTACCCGTGAGACAGGGTATCCGAAAACCCGCGGGTGTCGGGTAAAAATGCCCAGCCCTAATACATGGTAATCGTTTATACATTCAACTTATATCATAAGTCCGTTTATTTGAATTAACAATTAAAAATTTTATTTTTTTATCACCCAATTAATTAACTTAATTAAGAACTATCTTAGAATTATATATAGAAAATAATGATTGTATAGGATCATAGACAATAATAGAACCACAATCAAATATTACCCAATAACAAAAATATATATCTAACAACATTGTAAAAATAAAAATAAAACTACAATCAAGATAATTATTATCAATAAAAATAAATACACAAAAAATAGGTACACAACTTAAATCTATTAACCTAATTATTTGATATAATCCAATATACACAACAGATTTTATGTTATAATATGCATTATGGTTAAGAAATTACCTCCTTTAAGATAAAAAATAAAGAGGCCGATACAAGGAAAGCTTCGCGAGTTTTTATATTCCCTTCCTCCGGCTGTGGCGTTAGGGTTTTCCTCTTTGCAACTCATCCTCCTCTTTTTCCGAAATTCCTATTTTACCCTTGTCCCTGCTTAATTATTAACCTTTTGGGTTTGACATCATGACATATGACGATGCCTATAGCCCAAAAAAACGTGGATTTTTCTGCCTTTTTACTCTATTAAAGACTTGGTATTATTATTTTTCATTTATATTATAGTTTGTAGATATAACCATGAAAAAGAAGCATATATTATATTATTTGGGTAGAAATTATTACAAATCCATTTGAGAAAAATCGAGCATTTTAAGAAATGGCTTTAACAAAAAAGTAATTATGTGCAATTTGTCTATCAATGCCCGCGATAGTTTTTGAGCCTTTATGACGTGGATTTTCAATTATGACGTGGATTCTCAATAACAAAAGCATTTTACAAGTAAAAAAAATATATACACAAGACTAAGAAACATAAATACATAATCTAATTGAGGAAAATGGTAACAAACATGACATGAAATGAAATGATGGCGATGATGATGATGATGATATTTAAACTCGGATTATACATAAAACATTAAACAAATATTATATATTTCCTTTGAATATTTCTATATAGGGATTTTTTTCTCTTATCTTAAAAAATATGAAATAACTTAAAACAATAATTATTTTGAAACAGAGGGAGTATATATTTTTCTGTATTTAACTTTAAATTGAATATTTGTTTTGAATTAAATCAACAACAATAATTGTATTTACATGATATGTTTTATTTTTTAAATCAATTTTGTATTTTAAGATAGAGTTTAGAGAAATTTATTGAATATTGTTTTTATAATTTTATATATTCGTAATTTTATTTTAATTTTTTAATACGATTGATGTATTATTTTAGTAATATAATTTATGTATTAGTTAGACCCACAATACCTTTTATTTAAGGAGGTTTTTAATATTTACAAGTCGATAAGCAAGGGGGAAAACGGGAAAAAGCCCTGGGCCGAAGCCCGTTTTTGGAAATAGAATCTCCCGGCCCTACCTGATCAGATTCCACTTAATCCTAGCCGTTCATCTGTTTAGATGGTTGATTGGATCTTGGGTTTTCATGGGTTGATTTGATCTCTTCCTATTGATTTGGTTTCGATTTATCCTGGGTCGGTTCGAAATTTGTGAAATTTGAGTCGCTTAGTTGTCTGATTTTCTTCTGTTGATGTATAGAGATGTGTTGCATATCCTGCTTGCTAGGGCTGGGCATTTTTACCCGACACCCGCAGGTTTTCGGATATCCTGTCTCACGGGTACCCGGGATTCAGTACTCGTGAGACAATAAGACTGAGTTCGGGTTTGGTGAGATGAAAAACCCGAGTTTCGGGTTCGAGTTCGAGTTCGAGAATTGTAGAACGGGTTATCTCACGGGTACGCGATAAATAAGTAAATTACGAAAATACCCTTGTTTTTTAATACATTTTTAACAATACCCCTAACCCTAATTCACTAATGAGGTCCACATCTCTTTCTCTTCTCAGGCGGCATCATCTTCTACGGAACCAAAAAAAAATCTCGCCATTCCCTCGAGCTCTCGTTGCGTCGTTCCTTCGTTCTCTCACCGCGTCGTTCGGTCTCTCCATCTTCGCCGTTCCCGTTCGTTCTCTCCGCCTCGCCGTCGTCGTTTGGTCTTTTCGTCTCCGCCGTTAGAGTCTCCTCCGTCTTCGCCTTTCGAGTCTCCTCCATCTCCGCCGTTTGTGTCTCCTTCGTCTCCGTCGTCGCCGTTCGGTCTGTGGTATCGTTTCCCCCAATTGTTTTCTTCTGTTCTCATTCTGTGCCTGTTTCCATTTAAATTGTATTTGGGATTTGCATGGTAAATTTGTAACTGCGTTTAGGGTCTCTGTTTTTTTCGGATGTTTATCAGGATGACTAGCAAATAGATTTAAACCATTGAGATTACAGGTCATGTATGAAACCAACGCCAGATTCTTTTTTCGCATCTCTGGCTTCATTTCTGGTATTATCTGTAAGATGCAAGGCTATTTCTGTAGTTAGAAACAAACAAGAACCAAGTCTCTGTTGCAGATCGATCTCTCTTCAATATTTTTCTATTATTGATTTTTTATTCTAACTAATTTGTTCTTAATTCTCCGAAAAAATTGGGTACTAAGGCAAAGTTCAAATGTGTTATTAATTCTAATTTCGATTTGTATGTTTTTTTTTGTTTGTATAAGTATGCTTTTCATATGCGTTCAAGAATTGTGATGCATTTTGGATATGTTTTGAATGTTGTTGAACTTGAATCATAATGTATTTTGGATTTTATTCAATTTATAATTATGATGCATTTTGGATATGTTTTGGATGTTGAATTTTATGTTGATGATGTATTAGTATTGTAAAATTGCACAGATTTTTTTTAAAAAAAATTTTACACGAGTACGGGTTCGGGTTTCGCGGATACCCGATCTCGTGTCTCGGGTACCCGAATCTCGGGTATCCGAGTTTCATGAGATAGAGAACGAGATGTTTCAGTCAAAAACCCGGCGAGACCGAGAGCGAGATAAAGATACCCTGAAAAGTCCGGGTACCCGCCCGTGCCCACCCCTACTGCTTGCTTACTCATCCTCATGAATGGAACTGTATATTCCCTTTAGATTTGGGTATTTCACTTATATGATGAGATGACGATAACATCTTGAATCATTTATATCTCTCTCAGGCACTTGTGATTTCGTCGTAATGATTGTAGTCTGTTTGCTTTTGGGTGATAGTTTATGAATCGAGGATCTTTGGTTCAATAGGCAAAGGAGGATTTTTCTCATCTAGATGCGGTTTCCGCCACGCTTGTTGTACCTTTTTAAGGATCTCTGTGTTGTAGTTCTGGATTTGATGAGCGATTTCCTTGAATTCTCTTTCTCGCGCCCTTTGCTGTGTCTGTTAATTTGGAGAGGCTGGTTGATTGGTGTCTATGCTGTTGGATAACCATGTGCCTTTGATATGTTCTCTCCTGACATTACAGACAGATCTTAATGCTTGTGTTCCGCTTTGGATGGTATACAAGTTTGGCTTTTCTGTTACATTCGTCGGTTGCGAAAATCTTTTTTGAAAGTTGTTTAGCGAGATTGCCCCTTTTTCTTTGTTCTTTAACTTCTCTTAATGTTGTTCTATGCTTGCAGTCATGGCAGGTGCGGCACCAGAGGGTTCACAGTTCGATGCACGTCAGTTTGACCAGAAGTTGAATGATGTGTGAGTCTTTAAATCCAACTCTTTACTTCTTTTCGGGTTTGAATGATGCTCTGTTCTGTTTGCTAATGGTATCGTACCTATACAGGCTTGAGGGTGGTGATGAATTCTTCACGTCTTACGACGAGGTTTATGAAAGCTTTGACTCCATGGGTTTGCAAGAGAACCTTCTCAGGGGTATCTATGCATACGGTAGGTGAATGAGAAGATTTTCAGAGGATGTCTTTTGTGCTTTCTCCTCTTTCGATCTTTGCCTTATCCGTCTCTCTGTCATTGCTTCCAGGTTTTGAGAAGCCATCAGCGATTCAGCAAAGAGGGATAGTCCCATTCTGCAAGGGGCTTGATGTGATCCAGCAGGCTCAATCTGGTACCGGAAAGACTGCAACTTTCTGCTCTGGAGTTCTGCAGCAACTTGATTACAGCCTTGTCCAATGTCAGGCACTGGTTTTGGGTCCCACCAGGGAGCTTGCCCAGCAGATTGAAAAAGTTATGAGGGCTCTCGGAGATTACCTCGGTGTCAAGGTTCATGCCTGTGTCGGTGGTACTAGCGTTCGTGAAGACCAACGCATTCTCCAGGCCGGTGTCCATGTCGTTGTCGGTACTCCTGGTCGTGTCTTTGATATGTTGCGTAGGCAATCCCTCCGTCCTGACTACATCAAGATGTTTGTTCTTGATGAGGCTGATGAAATGCTCTCCCGGGGTTTCAAGGATCAGGTTTGTAATTTGTTGTTTATTACAAAACCCGATTCTTTCCCTTAATGCCTGCTGTAACCTGAGAAAGTCGGAATTCTTTGCCTCTCCCTCTCATCCTTTTCATTTTTGTTGTTCATATCTATTTTTGTAGTTTTTAACCCATGCATGTGCCCTAATGCAGCATCAAGTGGTAAAGACGTTGCCAAGCCATCCAAGGGTGTGGGCACACAGGTTCCATCTTTGGACTATGTTGACATTCCTCACTCTCAGATTCGAAAGGTAAAACCGTGATTACCTTGGTTGTTGAGTGCTCTTGGAATTTCTGAACTCAAAACATGTTATTTTTCTCTGTGTTACATTTATCTCACCAAGGGTTAGCCAATTTGTTTATTGCATAATTTTGGCAGGTCACTGCCTCACGCTTGTCGTTTTCAAAGCAAACTATTCCTCACTACTACTTGACTGTGGATACATGTGTAGACAAACTGATGGAGTAAGTATTTGTGTCAGATTCTATATATTGATATGGTCAATGGATGCTAAAGCTTAGCTATTTGTATCTGCACTGCAGTCTGAGGAGCCAACTCAATTCGTTGCAAGAGGCATCTGGCGGGAAACGGATATCTGTCAACGATCTTGTTATTAAGGTTCATTTACTTATTTTTGTGGACAATCGAACCTTATTATACCTATAACAAAAGAAAGAACAAGAATCTTATGGGATATATTTAGAGTTGATGCAAAATTCTGAAGAGTAAATGTACTTACTGCCGGATATATTCGTCTGTCCATGAACTGTTTCACTGAGGAACTTTACTTAGTGCCAATGCAGCAGCCTGGAATTCGCAGAAACAGATTCTTGTTCTTTCTTTTGTTATAGGTATAATGACGTCAATATTAACGTAGCTGTACAGACGGAAAATGGGCTCTACGTTCCTGTTGTCAAGTTGAGAAGGCACTCAATGCAAAGCCCTTTCCTTCCTCCCCCAAAACAAAATTCAGGTCTCTGAATTCTCGGTTACCTGTTTGCTTGATTCCAGGACGCAGACAAGAAAGGACTCTCCAAAATAACGGATGAGGTTCGGTTATTAGCACAAAAAGCAAAAGAGAACAGCTTAAAACCAGAAGATTATGAGGTAAGGAGAATCTATCTGTTCACTATCCATATAACCATTCCCCTCCAACAATATCGGTTTCGTTTCCTCAGGGAGGAACATTCACAGTCTCCAACTTGGGAGGATCCTTCGGCATCAAGCAGTTCTGTGCCGTCATAAACCCACCTCAAGCCGCCATTCTAGCAGTTGGATCTGGTAAACACACTGACACCTTCTTCCATTCTTCTACCAACAGATGTCTGAATGGATAGAATCTGCCATGACTGATTATGTTTCGTGTCTGAAAATCTCAAAAAAAAAAAAAAACAGCCGAGAAGAGGGTCATCCCTGGTAATGGAGCCGAGCAATTCAAGTTCGCATCATACATGGCTGTAACGCTGAGCTGTGACCACCGTGTGATAGACGGTAAGCTTTGCTTGCTAATAATAACAATAATAATAAGCCCTGATTTGTTTGTAATGTGTGTTTATATATAAAAAAAAATGACGAAATGGTGCAGGTGCCATTGGAGCTGAATGGCTTAAAGCTTTCAAAGGGTACATAGAGAACCCTGAGTCTATGTTGCTCTAAGCGTTTCCTTCCTCCTGTTTGAGAAAGCCTTTTTTTTTTGTACCATTTTGTTGTTTTTTCCCCTCACTATATGGTTCATATTTCATGAAGTTTTCTTCTTGTAATAAGAGGTGGGGTGCGTTGTTAAATTAACACCCCCTGTCATTGCTTTCTTTTAATTTTTGTTTTCCGGTTCATTTATATATATATATATATATATATATATATCAATTTAATTGTTGATTTTATATTACATTTTGATTTTAATTATAATTTCTTAAAAACAGATTTCTTTTGAATTTGCGGGTCTGAATTAGATTAATTGGGTTAATAACCGATTGTTTTCAATTCAGTTAAAAAAAAAGATTGGATTTTTCCAAAATTAAAATTAGTAAACTTTGAATCAATCCATCCTATATTTTTAGATAAATTTTTATTAAAAAAATATTTTTTTCCTTTCTCTTTACTACGAGAATTGAAAAGAAAAAGAGCAAATAATTCCATTGCCAGAAATGATTTTTACATCATAAATGAAGAAAGTGGCATTTAAGCTTACATTTCAATGAACCGACTTAATTTTAGTTTATTTAAAAATAAAAATCAATGAGGCGGTCAACACCGAATGTATGTACAAATACGGCCGGTTTGTGTGAACCGGGAGCGTCATTCCTAGAGAAGGCGTCTCACCGGTTGGGTTCTGTATGCACCATTTTAATCCGTGATTAACAGAGTTTCTGATCTCTCTCGTTAATCATACAGCGTTGAAAACAGCATTTTGCTTTAAAAAAAAAATAAATAAAAACAATAGTACATCCTCAACACAATAAATTTCGTCCATTGCAAAGCTTCCAGATAAAAAAAAAATTAACGAAATTAAACACCCGTTTTCCTGTCTGGACGCGAACAAGCCCTGAGTTCTGTCTTGAAAGGGTAAGTCTTATCGACGTCTCTTCTTCCTCATGGCCTGGGGGAACTTGAGAGGGACGGGAAGGGTTGCGTGCAAAACAGTTTTGACGCGCGAGCATTTGCAGCCCAGATGCTCGTAATGCTTTCTGAGATCGATGCTGCTCATCCTCAGATCCTTGGCTATGTCTTCCACGCTGGTCTTGAACTCATCCACGTGAAGCGTCAGCACGAGCACGTAGCTTGTCAGAAGGTTGATCTTGTCGGTTGGTATCCTGTCCGATTCAGGATCCCTGAACATTGACTTGAATCTCTGTTGTATGACCCCAGGAAACCTGTGGTCCTTGGCACTGTTGTAACCGTTCATGGATTTTACGTCCTTGAACTTCACCAGATGGGTGATGAAAGACAAGATACACGACATTGTCTTCTTCTCCGTCTCATCCTGCAAATGCCCAACAAAAGTAAATATCCTCGAGGAAGCCCCATTCTCCCTTGAGAATAATCTGATCCAATGGATAAGCTTCCCGAGGAGTTGCAGCAGAAACATCACACGGAGGAATGTTGCGTGAAATAATAGAATCAGTGCTTTCAAGAGCTTCCTTCTTGATTTCCATTTCGTTAAGTTTCCCCTCGAGGTGCTGCTGAGACTCGGGATCGTCCCCAGGGTTCAAAGCTCGCATCTTTTTGTCCTGCAGAAAACACATCAAATTAAGGAGTAAATCGATAACCGATCGATATCGTCTTTTCATGGACATAATTGCCAAAAGGGCATCGAAGCGATACAACTGGGACATCAAAGGCCATACCCGGTTTATAGCTGACTTTGTACCATAAAGGTTGTTAAGTTTTCTGGCTTTGACAGCTCGTTCTGCCGCAGTTAATTCAGTGCTAACTCCACCTAATGAAGCTTCTGAATCAACAGATTCCGCATTTTTAACTCTTGGCTCCAATCTGAAAATCTGTTATCGACATCACGCAATCAGAACTCCAAAACTCGATTCTCGACAGAGGAGCAAGACTTGTCATTTTTCTCACTAAGTTAGAGCAATACTAGTATACTACTAACATTAACAAAGAAAGTAATTTAACGCTTAAAGAAAAACCTGCATACACTTCCTCTAGACCTCCATACAAAAACCAAACAAGAACATCCCAAAGCTGAAAGAATCTCACTAACTTTGATCCACTCTCAATTGTATTCTTAAACTTCAAGCCGCAAAACCAAGCAACTGCAAATTACCATAAGAAAAGGTTGGATTTTTTTATTTTACCTTGTTGGAAGCAATTGGGAGAATTTTCAGTGTCTGCTTCTCCTTGTCGAGAACACCAAGTGTATACACACATGTCTGTCCGGTGGCTCCCTCGCCGGTATAATTCGAGCCGACGAACTTCACGCTCGAGCCAGGTGGGCTCACCACGACCTGAAGCCTCTTGCTCTTCGTCCCGGCCTTATGTCTATAAACCTCGACATCCGAACAGTGTCCGTCTCCATCGCCATCGCCATCGAATTTATCAGATGGGTCATACCCAGAAGCGAAATAGGCGACGATTGGAGCGATTCTGTCGGGTTTCTCCGAGATTTGCTTGACCCTGATGTTCATTGTCTCTTCTTTCTCTTCGTTGGGTTTCTCTATCTCTTCTTTCTCTTCGTTGGGTTTCTCTATCCCTCTTTGCTGAATCGCTGATGGCTTCTCAAAACCTGGAAGCAATGACAGAGAGACGGATAAGGCAAAGATCGAAAGAGGAGAAAGCACAAAAGACATCCTCTGAAAATCTTCTCATTCACCTACCGTATGCATAGATACCCCTGAGAAGGTTCTCTTGCAAACCCATGGAGTCAAAGCTTTCATAAACCTCGTCGTAAGACGGAGGAGACTCGAACGGCGGAGACGAAAAGACCAAACGACGACGGCGAGGCGGAGAGAACGAACGGGAACGGCGAAGATGGAGAGACCGAACGACGCGGTGAGAGAACGAAGGAACGACGCAACGAGAGCTCGAGGGAATGGCGAGATTTTTTTTTGGTTCCGTAGAAGATGATGCCGCCTGAGAAGAGAAAGAGATGTGGACCTCATTAGTGAATTAGGGTTAGGGGTATTGTTAAAAATGTATTAAAAAACAAGGGTATTTTCGTAATTTACTTATTTATCGCGTACCCGTGAGATAACCCATTCTACAATTCTCGAACTCGAACTCGAACCCGAAACTCGGGTTTTTCATCTCACCAAACCCGAACTCAGTCTTATTGTCTCACGAGTACTGAATCCCGGGTACCCGTGAGACAGGGTATCCGAAAACCCGCGGGTGTCGGGTAAAAATGCCCAGCCCTAATACATGGTAATCGTTTATACATTCAACTTATATCATAAGTCCGTTTATTTGAATTAACAATTAAAAATTTTATTTTTTTATCACCCAATTAATTAACTTAATTAAGAACTATCTTAGAATTATATATAGAAAATAATGATTGTATAGGATCATAGACAATAATAGAACCACAATCAAATATTACCCAATAACAAAAATATATATCTAACAACATTGTAAAAATAAAAATAAAACTACAATCAAGATAATTATTATCAATAAAAATAAATACACAAAAAATAGGTACACAACTTAAATCTATTAACCTAATTATTTGATATAATCCAATATACACAACAGATTTTATGTTATAATATGCATTATGGTTAAGAAATTACCTCCTTTAATAATTATATATCTGTAAAGAACGTATGATGAATGAACAATACAAGATTTTTTTTTTTAAATCTCTCTAGGAATATCAAAATATCAAAATGAATGTTGTAGAGAACAAAAACGGCTATTAAGGATATAACGTAGGGGTGAGCGTTTCGCTTCGGTTTTTTAAAACTGAACCAAAACGAAAAATACGGTATTTTTTTCGATTTAAACCGTTCTAAATTTTCGAACGGTACTATTTCTAGAAAATCGAATTTTTTTAGAACCGAACCGAACCGAATTTTAAAAATTTCGAAAACGAAATTTTTTAAAGGAAATCTATCTTTTTTAAAAACCGAACTGAACTGGATTGAAATCGAAATCGAATTGAACTAAACATAATATAAAAATCGATAGGTACCTATTTTTACAAAATCCAAAAAATTAGATCGATACATTCCTATCGCGGATCCAAACCCGAATCCGACCCCCGAAACGATTCTCGAGATGCCGATGTAAAAGAAACAATAAGTAGTGAATTAAGGGGGGGTTTTTTTCAATTACAAAAAACAGAATTAATGAAAAACTGAGGCGGCATAGCCTGGGGTGTTTCTGTCACGCTAACGATTAACCTGGCTATTTTTGTAAATACCATAAATTCAGGGGTAAAATCGTCTGTTCAGTTGGTTTACAAGAAGAAGTGAAACGAGGAGGGTGATCGCTACTAATCAGAACCACGTATTTTACGTGAGACTTTTCTCACAACAATAACAAGAGAGAGAGAGCGCTTTGGACAAGAACATCGTTTTCCAGCACTTCCAAACAGCATTGCATCCACTTGTTCGAAGAAGGTTATCTCGAAAATCAGTAATGAACTAAACTCCAAAAATTGTGATTGAACCACCAAGAAGATCAGGGGCTTGCTGAAAATAGAACTTGATATTCGTATCTTCCTCGAGGTCTATCAAGCAAATCGTTATTCCTCTTCTACCCTTTCTCACGTACAAGTTGCCGACATTGCAGGCTACTTGGAGGTTGTTTGGCAGACAACCTTTTTACACCTTTTTCCTTGCATATTTGTAGCTCCCTGTATAGGATAGTGACACTTGTAATCTTTTTGATTCCTTTGTAAGTGTATATAACCCCATCGAGGGCATAATGAAGATATGAGAAAACATACTTTTTCACAAACCTTTCTCCGTTGTATTCCTCTCTTGTTATGGTATCAGAGCTCCATCTTTAAGCTCCGCTTTCTTCTTCTTCCTTGATATTCTCGTTCTTTTTCCTTATTTTTCCCCATGGCTGATTCCACTGCGTCTAACGCATCGGTTGATTCTGAACCTCCTGCTCCGCCTCCTATTCTTCCTCCTGTTTCAAATCCCACTTCTGATCCATATTCAAGCCCTCTCTATCTCCATGCTGCTGATTCTTCCAACCTTCAGCTGGTACCTGAAAAGCTACAAGGTGAGTCAAACTACAACATCTGGTCTCGAGCCTTTCTCAAAGCCCTCAATGCCAAAAACAAGATGGGGTTCGTTTTTGGTACTGTCCTGAAACCTCCGGCTGATCATCCCGACGCTGGCTTATGGTCTCGCACCAACGATATGGTGTGTACTTGGCTCAATAATGCTGTGAGTCCTGAAATCGCCAGCCTTGTCGTGTATCTTGATGAGGCTCATCTCATATGGTCTACTCTGGAAAGTAGATTCAAGCAGCAGAATGTCTCGAAGGTGTACAACATTCAACACCAGCTTGACACTCTGCATCAAGGGTCGTTGGATCTGAACACATATTTCACGAAACTCACATCGCTCTGGGAAGAGCTGCGAAATTTTGAACCCTTCCCAGCCTGTACCTGTGGTGGCTGCACCTGCGGAGGCTGTACCTGTGGTGGTTGTTCTTGTAATCTCCCAGATCAGTGGTCTTCCCTGTTTGAACGAACCAATGTCGTGAAATTCCTCATGCGACTGAACGATTCCTACACTGCTGTTCGACGCCAGATTTTGATGCTTGATCCCCTGCCTAACCTCTCAAAAGCTTACAATCTTGTTTCTCAAGAGGAGCAGCAGCGGATCTCCTTCGGTTCCTCCTCCGATCAGGCAGCTTTTCAGATCTCGGCTCCTTTTCGCTCGAAACCGCCGTTTTCTCCTTCGGCTCACAACCCTCGTTCACAATCAGCTGTTAGGCCCAAGAACAATGTTCAGGCCCATGCGAAGCCCCGGCCCGTTTGTACCCACTGCGGAATGTTGGGCCATACGGTGGCCCGATGTTATTACTTACACGGCTTCCCACCAGGTTATCGCAGTCCAGCTCCTCTTCTGCCTACTCCGCAATTTTCTCCCAAATCACCATACTTTCAGCCACGAAACCCTAACACTGCGCAGAGGCCAGTGAATGTCATGGGTCCTGGAAATCAGCAACCTCAAGACCGTCTGTTCAACCCGGATGATGCGTTTGACATGCGCAACCAACTGGCACAGGCCAAGGAATTGTTGGCTCAGTACACCTCCCAGCTGAAGAATCATGGCTCTTCTCCATCGTCCTCAGGTTATGCTGCTTCCTCTTCATCCCCTCCTTTATCTCCAGGTATTATTAAACCCTTTATCCTTTCTGCTCTATCTCCAACCCTAAAATTTTCATCAGTGGTTTGGATTTTAGATAGTGGTGCGAGTTGTCATATCTGTCATGACCGGACTTTGTTTTCTGAAATTCATGTTGTTCCACCGATCTCAATCTCTCTCCCCAACGGTGACTCACTCACCGTCTCAGAATCTGGAACTGTCCCATTACTTCCGAATTTAGTCCTTACCTCTGTTTTATATCTTCCACGTTTCAAATATAATCTCCTTAGTATCAGTTCCCTCACCAAACACACATCTCTTTCTGTCTCTTTTAATGGTAACTCTTATGTTATTCAGGACCATACTCTGGCCTCGACAATTGGCAAGGGTAAACAGGTGCATAACCTGTATGTTCTGGAACTTCCGAGGTCATCTCCCAATTCTCCACCCCTATTTTCCCCCCTATGCACAGCTCTAGAGGCTTCTTCTGTTGATCTTTGGCACTTTCGCATGGGTCACCCATCCAACTTGAAGATTAAAGCTATAGGATCTTCTGATATTACTTTTACTCCTTCTACTTTTGATCACTGTAAAGTCTGCCCTTTGGCTAAACAAAAGTCTTTAGTTTTTCCATTTCACAATCATATATCTCAAAACCCTTTTGAACTAATACATGTTGATGTTTGGGGTCCTTTTCATGAACCTACAGTTGATGGTTTTCGTTATTTTCTTACTTTAGTTGATGATTGTACTAGAGTTACATGGATTTATCTTCTCCGCTGTAAATCCGAAGTCTCTTCCAAGTTTCCTATCTTTTATCAACTGATCAAAAATCAATACAACTCTACCATCAAATCAATTCGCAGTGACAATGCCCCTGAGTTAAATTTTTCTGGTTTTCTTACCACTCATGGCATTTTTCACTATAAGTCTTGCCCATATACTCCACAGCAAAATTCCGTTGTAGAACGCAAACATCAACACCTCTTAAATGTTGCCCGAGCCCTCTATTTTCAGTCCAAGGTTCCTCTTTGTTATTGGGGAGACTGTATCTTAACTGCAGTCTATTTAATTAATAGAACTCCAACTTCTGTTCTACAAAACAAATCCCCTTTTGAATGTCTTCTCAAACACAAACCTGACTATTCTCATCTTAAAGTTTTTGGGTGCCTATGCTATGTTTCCACATACGCCAAAGATCGACACAAATTTAGCCCTAGAGCTGTACCATCTGTCTTTCTTGGTTACCCTTCTGGTTTTAAAGGATACAAAGTGTTAAATCTCGAGACTAACACTATATCAATCTCTCGGAATGTAGTTTTTCATGAAACTACATTTCCTTTTCATCACACTCATTCCTCTACCTCCTCTGCCACTCCTTTAATCATTCCACCATCACCATATTTCCTTTATGATGATGTACCTCAACCTGTTTCTCCTTCTCCTAATATACCTCCTTGCTCATCTTCTTCCCCCTCTAATTCCAAAAACACCACTTCACCTTCTTCTCCCCATGAGATCTTGGAACAACATGTTATTTCACCTAACAATCTCAGGCCACATAGAAATACTTCTCGCCCTGCTTATCTCAAAGACTATCACTGTTTTCTCCTTTCTAACCTCTCTTCTTCTTCTCCCACTAAAATCACTACTCCTTATCCTCTCTCTTCCTATATTACCTATGATAGACTTGAACCAAATTACAAAAACTTCATACTTAATATTACCATTTCCCAAGAACCAAACACTTTTTCCCAAGCTATACAATCTGAACCTTGGAGGAAAGCCATGGAACTTGAGCTTGAGGCACTGACTCACACTAATACCTGGTCAGTTTGTCCTTTACCTTCTGGAAAACGGACTATAGGTTGTAAATGGGTGTATCGAACCAAGTTTAATGCAGATGGTTCCATTGATAAACATAAAGCGAGATTGGTTGCAAAAGGCTATAAGCAACAGGAAGGGATCGACTATTTTGAGACCTTTAGCCCTGTGGCTAAAATGACAACTGTCCGAGTTATCCTGGCTCTTGCAGCATCTCAAAATTGGATTCTCCATCAACTTGATGTTTCTAACGCCTTCCTTAATGGTGATTTAGATGAGGAAATATTTATGGATCTACCTCCCGGTTATTCACAGCTTAAGGGGGAGCCTATTTCTTCTGGTTTGGTTTGCAAACTGAATCGATCCTTATATGGCTTAAAGCAAGCATCACGCCAATGGAATCAGAAACTATGCCAGGTACTTCTCTGTGCTGGATATCATCAATCTGCTGCTGATAATTCCTTATTTCTGAGAAAGTCTGGCTCTCGGTTTGTGGCTGCACTAATTTATGTTGATGACATCTTGGTTGCTGGAAATGATATGACCCTAGTCACAGAGCTTAAGCATCTTCTTAGCTCCAATTTTCAGATTAAGGACATGGCTGATCTTAAATACTTCTTGGGTCTTGAAGTTGCAAGATCCAAGCACGGTATTTATCTATGTCAACGCAAGTACACCTTGGAATTACTTGATGATTATGGCATGCTAGGATGTAAATCAGTTGGTTCACCTATGGAACTCAATCTTAAGCTTGGTCATGAACTGCTTCCTGATGCTTCAGTTTACAGAAAACTAATTGGCAGACTGATTTATTTATCCATCACTAGACCAGATCTTGGTTTCTCAGTTAACAAATTAAGCCAATATATGTCTAGCCCTCGCACAGCTCATCTTCAGGCTGCCATGAGAATTTTACGCTATCTGAAATCTGATCCTGCACAAGGTCTTTTATACTCGTCTGCTTCCCCTGTTTCTCTGCGTGGATTTTGTGATGCTGACTGGGCTAGTTGCCCAGATTCTAGGCGTTCAATCACAGCCTATTGCATCTACCTTGGCACTTCTCTAATTTCTTGGCGGGTTAAGAAGCAGCCTACCATCTCTCGAAGTTCCGCTGAGGCTGAATATCGTTCCATGGCGCAGACATGCTGTGAATTGGTTTGGCTGAGTTCCTTGTTATCTGATCTCAAGTTTCCAATTCCGAAGCCTCTAACGTTGTTTTGTGACAGCAAATCTGCGATTCATATCGCTAACAATCCTGTCTACCACGAGCGCACTAAGCACATCGAGTTAGACTGCCATTTTGTTCGGGAGCAAATCAAGAATGGTTTCCTTAAGCCTCTGCACGTCTCTAGCTCGGAGCAAGTGGCTGACTTGTTAACCAAGCCATTACCTGTTGACAGATTTCGATATCTTCTCTCCAAGATGGGGATACATCATCTATATTCCCCATCTTGAGGGGGAGTATCAAGCAAATCGTTATTCCTCTTCTACCCTTTCTCACGTACAAGTTGCCGACATTGCAGGCTACTTGGAGGTTGTTTGGCAGACAACCTTTTTACACCTTTTTCCTTGCATATTTGTAGCTCCCTGTATAGGATAGTGACACTTGTAATCTTTTTGATTCCTTTGTAAGTGTATATAACCCCATCGAGGGCATAATGAAGATATGAGAAAACATACTTTTTCACAAACCTTTCTCCGTTGTATTCCTCTCTTGTTAAGGTCACCCTCATAATGGACGAGAAACTTCGTCTCAGAAGAATTTTCTCTCCTCCAGTTTTAAACCCAGAATATAGAACCAAAAAACACAAATCCTTCACCAACCAGTTAAAAAATCCTGCGATTCATCGAAAATGGAGGTGGAGAACAGACAAGAACCGACCAATAACAACGCTCATCCTGTTTACGAGGAGGGCGGAAAATGGGAATTATCAAAGTACCTTGAGCATCAAGGCGAGTGGTTAGAGCAAGCCAGAGGGAACCTAATGGTTGTGGCCACTGTCTTAGCCACGATCAGTTTCCAAGTCGCGATCAATCCGCCTGGCGGCGTCTGGCAACAGGACGACGGATGTGGCCCCACCGGAGATAACTGTACCAGGATTGCTGGAACATCCGTACTAGAGAACTCCAAGTTTGGATCCAAAGACGCAATCTTCCATGACTTGCTCACCAACTGTATTGTGTCTTTCACATTCTCCATGGCCACTATCTACTTCCTCCTCTTGGGCGTTTCACTCAGGTACGGCTCCTAAATCGCATCAACTCTGTTTTGAGTTGGATAACAGGTCGATCGGGTAAGTAATCTCTCTCGTGAAATTCTCATATTTATATGTATCACGAGTATAGCTTGTAAATGATATAGATCGATAAAATAAGCTTCAACTATTTCTAAATGTAAAAGACGCCCTAATAATCCTTCGATCCAACCATGTCTTTCGCTTTGCAGGAGCAAACTTGTGGCGTTCTTGATATTCTCTATGATGGGTTCCGCGGTTGGCGCGACGGTTCAGGCATTCAAGCTTTCCGTTAGGTTGGTTCACTCGGACAACTCCTCTATCCGGTCTAGAATGTTGATTTACGACTGGTTCTGGCTTGTGAGTACGGCGTGTTTACCCGTCGTGTACGGCGTGTTATACTGCGCAATGTCCTGCTTTAGAAAAAGGTCGAACCGCCGCTCGAGACCTTCCGGCCAGCCACCCTCGTCCACTGCTTGAGATTTTCTGAAAACTTGTTTAGTAAGTCTGGTTCGAGCCTTTTGGGAAGCTATGAACAATACTCTACGTCGTCGTCGGGTGAGGATTTTCGTCGAGATTTATATATATGTTTAACTAGCTATACCGTTTTTCGACTATTGTTATCATCATTTGGCACGATTCGAGATCTCGACAAAACGGGTTTGTATTCGAGCTGACCATAGGTTATAAAGTATGGAGGGATGTTATGAATGGTAAAATCTAAATTGATAAGGACTCGGAATTTGGGAATTTATAAAGGACGGTAATGAGAAACCGATCGAGTGAACCGGACTGGTTAAGGAAGTGCCGTAACCGGTAAGGAGCCTGGTTAGAGAAAAAGCAAACCATATGGATATCTCTAAGTAAATAATAATAATAATAATGATTTTACGAGGTTTCCACCAACATTAAAAACATAATCTCGAATCTGTGTCACTTACATAAGATTAGACATTTCAGAACATGCTAAAACAGAAATAATCATTACGATTAAACACTTGTAGCTTCATTCAATGATCGTGCATTGCACCTGTCATCCTAAAGTTTTCAGTGAGTGGACCCACAAGAGGAGAACTTATTATTCACATTTATTCATTTTTACTAAAACAGCCGTATATAAATACATTTTTTTTTTGTTAACTGTAATTTATATTGCTTTTGTTTAAAAATAGGAATTACATCCAGAAAAGATTCTAGAGTTCAAAAGAGAAACAACCCGAGTATAAAACTAGAGAGTCATAACTAGTTTCATAATCTGTCAAAATACCGAAACCATAGTGTAAGCAGCCCTTCTTCATGTTGATTAGTACTTTGCTCCGCTTGTATCACCGAGAGTTTCCGCCTCGTCGATAATCTAATCTCCCGCACCAAAACAGCCACTGTATGTGACTGGTTCCTGTGCAGTCGATCATTCCTTTCGCGCCACAGGCTGTACAAACAGCCTTGGTACAACAATAGAACAATAAGCCGCAACCTCCTGTCGCTAGAGCACCGTTCAAGCCTTGTGAGGAAGTCCTGAAACGTAGAGTTCTGCTGGAAGGGAATTGGCGTACCGTCCAATAACGAGAACCATACAGAATGACTAAAATCACAAGAGAAGAATAAATGGTCAATAGTTTCTGTCCCCGAGTCGCAAAGTAGACAATTCGGAGATACATTCAGTCCCCACAATAGCTGACGATCCCTTGTAGGAAGTCGCAAAGTATATAAATACATTACATTCCCACATATATAGATTCATTGAATATTATACATATTAATATGGAGCGTTAATAAATATTCCAAGACAAGAGCCTGACTATATATTCGTCTTCCACCCCGTGTTAATGGTCCGGCAACGTGACAGGACTTTTCTCTCATTTGGTTCTCTCTGCGAATAAGATAAAAGATTAATTCAAGAGAATCCTTAATTGCGTCCACCAGATTTAACCCTAGATAAAACCCTAAAACCAAAGCACAACTCCTTTTATAAGCCCAGGAAGAAAATCCTGTGACAAATTATCTCTCTCTCTCTCTCTCTCTCTATATATACACACACACACACACCAGACATCAAAGAGCTCATCATGCCATTTCCATATGGAGAGGAAGGGATGAAACACAATTCCTAATCAAATCTAACAATATGTTCTTAATGATTTAATCTTCGGACGTCTAAGTATATAAATTGATTTAATCAACCTTTTAATTGAGCGTACAAGAGATCTAAAATCAAACAACATATCGATCTTCTTGTCGGCACAGAGCTCTAGTAACCGGCTCATGATCAAGTCATGAAATTCACATTTCTTGCACTACAAGAAAGAAACTCTTTCCTTGCAGCACAAGTAGCTTGATGAAACTGTACAATTTCTGAGTTTTGGGAAGACTTTTCCACGCACTTATAAATTTAGTGGGCCTTCCGGTCGTTTTCTAATGTATTAAATATATTGAACTGCTCAACTGTTCCGTAGGGACTTGTCTAAGACTTGGAAAATTTAAGAGTTTGGTTGGAAGTATATAAAAAAAAGACGTTACAAGTCACTAGGCAACCTCATTAATCATACCACATTTGTTAATTTTTTAACATAGCATTATATAAAAACATTGTCATATAGATTCATTGAATATTATCCATACATATTAATATTGAACATTAATAAATATTCCAATGCGAGAACCTAAAGTTTTCAGAAGAACTTTTCTTCCTTTTGAAAAGTACTTAGATTGAAAAAGAAAATTGAATGGTAAGTGATTGAGCATGAAGGAGGAGGAGGATGGGAACCTGCAAGAGACGAGATATAACAATGATAATGCGGAGCCAAGAGTGAACCGGAGTGGTTAAGGAAGTGCCTTAACCGGCCTGGGGGCTGGTTAGATAATACCAAACCAAGGGGGATTCTGATAGTTTTCCAAATCCTCTTTGTTCATTCTTTGCTTTGAAACCGAGAAACGATGCAAACGGATCATTTGCTCTAAAGAACACGATAATAGTGGAAATTCAGTTACAGTTTTGTAGTAATGATTGTTTATATGCTTCAGGTTTCCCATATGCATGTATATTTGTGATGTATTTAATATGTTTTTTGAATCTTCGCTTGGTTTAAGAGAGAAGTTTCTTTACAAGAAACCAAGGAAAAGCTTTTGTACATAGAGTTTTCATGCATGATATCAGGTTGTGAAAATCGATCAAAGGGGTAAATATTATATAGTTTACAGAAGATTTTGCTCCTCTCTCGAGGGTAACAACTGAGATATATATATATATATATATATATATATATATATATATATGCGGATTATTCCAAATCCTTTAAGCATATGTTAGTCGAAATTCTGTTAAATTCATTTTGAAACACAGAAAGGAGTGTATATGCCCGAATTCTGTTAATTGTCTGGCGGGGGAGAGTGAAAACCGCGGAACCAGTTCCCATGCATGCCACTGAGAAACAAGTTGTACGTCGCAGTCGTTGATTCAGTCATGCAACGATATCATAAGAAATCGATCAACTTTCTTATCCAATCCCCAACCTTAATTGCTAAATAATCCGTGGGCGAAAAGAAATCAATATATATGTGTGTGTGTATATATATAGCTTACGGGGACTTGTTCTATATATGACAGTTGCATTCACTACTCTTGCTTGTCAAGAAGATAAAGATGAGTCCTTATACATCCCCCGGTTATAATAAAACCAATTACCAAGAAGTAAAACCTGAGATCGAACATGGCGGAGGAGAACAACAATCGGAAATGGTTATTTACAAAGTACCTTGAGCATCAAGGCGAGTGGTTAGAGATTTCCAGAGGGACCCTATTGGTTGTGGCCACTGTCTTAGCCACGATCAGTTTCCAAGTGGCAGTGAATCCACCGGGCGGCGTCTGGCAACAGGACGACGGATGTGGCCCCGCCGGACATAACTGTACGAGGATCGCCGGAACATCCGTGCTCGAGAACTCCAAGTTTGGCTCCAAAGATGCAATCTTCCATGAATTAGTCACCCTCTGTATGGTGTCTTTCACTCTCTCCATGGCCACTATTTACATCCTCCTCTTGGGTTTTTCATTCAGGTGCAATTCCTAAAACACATAAATTGTTGGGTTGGATAATTTTAGAGTAAGCGGTCGGTTTGATAACATCTCTCATGCAACTCATATATTTATTGATTCATATTATGGACATTTAACTCATCTACTATATCCATGTTACATATAAATATAAATATAAACATAAACTACAATTTTTTTTTCTAAATGTAAAAGATATCCCTAAAAACACTATGAAAGTCACTAATATATATTTCCCAAAATATTTCGATCCGATTATGTCTTTGGCTTTGCAGGAGCAAACTTGTGGCGATATTGGTCTTCGCTATGATGGGTGCCGCGGTTGCCACAATGGTTGTGGTGTTCAAGCATTCGCTTAAGTTGATCCACTCGAACAATGCCTCTATTCAATCTAGATTGTTGATCTACGACTGGTTTTGCTTTTTCATCTTTGTAGTATTCCCCAACGTGTTTGTTGTGTTCTACTTTGCAATATTACGTTGTAGAAGAAGGTCAAACCGTTATTCGAGACCTTCCGACCAGTCACCGTCGTCCAATGCTTGAGATACGTATCGAGTTTTACGTACAATGTCTGAAAACTTGTTGTTGGGGCGTGTTAGTAAGTCTGGTTCGAGCCTTTGGGAAAACTACGAAACGATAAATCTACGTCGTCAAGATTTGTATAATGTGAACGGTCGTAATATGTATGTTTAATTATACCGTTTTTCTATTATTGTGATCATGATTTCTCGTGACCCTTTTTCATGTTTTGAGGTTATTGTATTACTTTATTGTCATTTCACTTATTCACGGTGTTATCCATAACCAGCTGCAATAATTTTGTTCATAGAAAATAGTTTTTTTTAACCACAGACAAATCTCTATCTATATATATATATATATGTGTGTGTGTGTGTTTGTGCGTGTGATCATTTATGGAGGAAACTATTTGGAAAAAAAACATGTGTACTATACTTAACTAAAAAACATTATTCACAAGGCAAAGTTTTTAGATTTGTTTTACTCGTGCATGCATCATGCATGGCATGGTATATATTATGAATAAGAAATGTCTTGATAGATATTCATTAGAATAACCCTAGGGATATATATACAACCGTGTGACTTGTTGCTAAAGGAAAGAAATAATGTTATACAAGATTACATGCAATCATATGCTAATAAGGAGCAATCATATATCTTCTTTCCATTTTACTGCGAAAATATAATTAAGTGGATTTCACAAACATCAAAGGAGAGCTAGCTAACCACACTTATAGAGTTATAGGCATCCAACAGCTGTTAGAGTTTAGGGTTTATAAAAAAATAAGGTGAAAATAATTCAGTCAAAGGGAGGACCAAGTAGGGCTCTTACCCTACATAGGAAAATATCTGAACCCAAACTTTACTATCCGACCCGAACTCGAATTTCGAATTTTTCTCAAATCTAAAC